ACAGAAAATGCCTGTCGTGGCTGGCTGGCTGTTCATCCCCTTTCCTTCTTCCAGTCCCCCAGCCTATGGAATGGTGCCACCCACACTCAGGCTGAGGAGTCTTCCCCACCACCCACTTTGTTAATCCTGTCTGGGAGGCATCCCCACAGCTAGAAGCACCCCACAAACACAGTGAGGCCTTACTGATCCTCTAGGTACTTCAATCCAAGAAGTTGACAATCAAGATTAAAGATTACTATAAGTTGTATGTGGTGACACACTTCTGTAATTCTAGTATTGATGAGGTAAGGTTAGGAAGATCACAAGTTCAAGGGCATCCTTGGTCATTTAGTGAGTTTGAAGCCACTCTGGGCTGTATGAGACTCTATTTAAAAGCAAAATAAACCGTCACAATGAAGAAACAAAGCCCTTTTAGCTTAGAGGTCCAAGTCAGTAGGCAGTGTTTCTTTTCTGGTACCTTAAAAAGTGGCCAGAGTGGGGCTGAGTGGTCAGGGGCTTCAAAGTATGGACCCACAAGGAAGGATAAGCCTGCAAATCACTGTAGACTGTCCCCAGCATGACCCCAGATACCCATCTTTGCAGAGAAAGAGCTATTACACCAGGCCTGACAGCTGTCCTTTGCCAAACTGCTTAAAGTTTGGTCATTGGCCACTGCTCGGGAACTTGAACTTGAGGATTCCTACCTGAGAGAGGCTCAGGGTGCCTAGATTCATTGTGCAAATAGTGCAGTGTATAATGTTTTCATGCTTGGGATTTGGAAATTTGAACTACTGGGAGTGTGTGTGTGGCCAACCCACAGTGAAAACTCTGGATGTGACTTTCTTTTATAAAAAAATAATAATTATTATATTCTATATGTGTGAATGTGTGTGTGTGTGTGTGTTATGGTGTGTGAATGGAAGTGAGAGAACAATTTTTGGGAATCAGATCTCTCCTTTCACTGTTGTGTTCTAGGCATTGAAGTCAGCTCATTAGACTTCCACTGCTGGGAGTGGGGCAGAGACAAGAGGATCCCTGGGGCTTGCTGGTCAACCAGCCTAGCCATAAAAATGGCAAGCTCCAAGTTCAGAGAGAGACTCTGACTCAAGGGGGTAAAGTGGAGAGTGACAGCCCCAAGATGCTTCAAGCTGTTCTTCTGTTTGCAAATCGCCTTTCTTTTCATTAACAATCACTAGTCTGGTCTACATCTCTATAGTTCTTCATTTCCAGGATCCTATGTAAGCGACATAATATATCATACAACCTTTTGGGAATGGCTTGTTTTTGTTCTGCTTTAAGTCTCTGGATATAATGCATCTATAGCAAAAATATTTTCCAAAGTTTGTTATGGTTTTAAAAATATTTCATCTTTTAAGACATACCCTGAACTGGGCAAGCAGTCCCCCCTTCCAGAGAAATGTACACAGCTCATAGTGGGGAAATAATTGCTCACCCCGGGACCAACTTAATCTTTTCAGCAGAAACTCTCTGCTGTTCACTCTTTGTTTCACTCTTTTGGTGAACTGCTGCTCAAGCTTTAGAGCCTTCTAGAAGGTCACTAGCAGAGCATTTGGTGTTCTGTAAATTGTTTCCCTCAGGCTCAACATGAATTTTGCTACATTACTTTTGAGTGATCTCCATCACACGCTTCCCTTCACCCCTCCTGAATGCTTTAGCGCATTATGAACCCGCTTTAAGTAACAGTGTGAAGCATTCAGATCCAGCAAAGCCTCTCCTGCCTTGTACAAGTCACCTCCCACCATGGGGCTCTTATCATCCATAGGAGGTAGGAAACAGTTGTCACTCAGCAAGGAGCCACAGCACCCCACACGGGAAAGATAGCCAGATTGGGATGTTGCCTCTGTGGATGTTCCACCCTCAGATGGATCAACCTCAATTGGGGTCTCATCACCCACCACAGGGGCCGTGTAACTGATCCTCCTCAACTCTTCCTTAGTTCTGTTGGTCCCCCTTACCAGTTATGTTGTGTGACTTTTTCTAGGGAGCCATACGCAAATGTCTATTTATGACAGGTTATTAGGGCCCCAATGACAGATCAAAGACATTATTTCACCCGAGTCTGGCTTTGTGACAAATGAGTTTATAGTTGTTACTTACAGGAGCATGGGTGACTCAAAGTCAGCTGCATCACTTTGCCTAACCCACCATGGTAAAGACTCATAAAAGGTGCATCCTTGGAGCTCCCTGAACGTCTTGGAGACAGCTTCACAGAAGAGCCTCTTCTTCTGGAGCAGTTGTTTACTTCCATCTACATAACTTTAAGGACTGCCTTTAATGAGTCTTATAAATGTTGTGACCTTCCTGAGCCTCGAATTCATTATTACTTTCCTTTGTGTTATGAGCCTCCTCTTCCCACCATGAGAGAGTGTTTATATCTGAAGGAAAAAGCTACCAGCAACTTCTACCAGGCACTTTGTCACAGGTATACGAAAAGTGACTCTTGTCATCAGTCTCTTTGCCAAGGGTTGTATATAGATTCTCTCAACCCTTGGCCCTTGTGGAATAGGTATTGCTTAACTTTGCTAATGAATAAATGGAGGTTCAGCAATATTTAGAAACTTGTCCACAGTCATCAAAATGGAATCAGAGTTTGAGCCCAGTAAATCTCCCAAGTTTGTGCTTTGTGAAGAACATGCAAACATCATTACAGCAGGTCCAGACTGAAAGAAAAGCATGTGGAGTTTGAAGGCCTAGACATATCCTAGGCCTTAACACTCTGTTGATTACGAGTTGGCTGCCATGCAAGTTGGCACGGTACAAATGGCAGGATCATGCAGGTAATTTACTGCCTATTTGTTCCAAAGAAATATCCTTTTCTTTCTTGGATAATAGTAGGTCCTGCCTCTAAGACAGGAGTCTGGAAAGATGCTCAGTGAGGCTGCTACCTGCATTTAACCACAGATCTCATCGTCTGCTCCGAATCGCTGCTCAGAGCAGCCAGCACCATTAACTAGAAAGAGCATCGCCCCCCCCAGGGCTGCTGGGCTTAGCAAGACACTAAATCAAGCCCACGTTACAACTGTTTCTGTTCAAACTGTTTGTACAGCGTGAGTACAAGATGAATTTCCTCAGACAGGAGCCTGGCTTCTGTTGAGAAAAATGACAGTTGCTGGCAAAGAGGCATGCCATTTACTTGGTTGGGGTCATGGTTTCTGGAATCCATGTACCTGAGCTTTCCCTCATTACTAGATTTTCTAGCTGTGTGAACTTGAACAAGACACTTTATCCTCAAAGCGTATCCATGAAATGAGGATAGGAGCCATATCCATCATACCCATCTGTGTTGCAGTTCCTCAGGATCCTCTCAGAGTCATCATTGCCAAGGACTCAAGGAACTCAGTGTATGGTCATCTACAGGACCATAATATGACAGCACAAAAGTGCAAGGCAGAATCAATACAGGCTAAAGGTGATGGCAGTGGTACCAAGAGGGTTCTAGGCTCTGGCTTCCCAGAGTCCTCTCTTAGAGCACTCACATAGAATGCACTCATGCCCCTGGCATTGACTTTCAACAGCATGTGTGAAGGGCTGTCCACCAAGTGAGCTCATCTGCAACTCAGCACCCAGTTTTTATCCAGGGTTGGTCACAGGGAACTGTGTTAGTTACTTTTCCTGTTGCTGTGATAAAATACTCTGACAGAAGCAGCTTAAGGAAGGAAGTGTTTATTTTGGCTCTCAGTTGGGAAGTGTGATCCATTATGGTGGGTAGGTCCTGGTGGCAGGAGCATGAGGCAGCTGCTCATATCGTATCTACAGTCGGAAAGGAGAGGTGACTGAGAGTGCTCTGCTCCCTTTCTTTGTCTAACAGTTATGATGAGTTTTCCACCTCACTTACCCTAATCTAGATAATCCCTCACAGACAAGCCCAGAGGTTTGTCTCCTAGGTGATTCTAGATCCCGCCATGTTGATGATCAATATTAACCACCACAGGCATCCTCTGCCTAGGATGTCCCCAGACTCCAGAGTCCCCAAAGGAAAGCAGGTGTTAGCACAAAATGTACAGTTTGCACAAGCAATTTAGGCACAGTGAGCCTCTTTTAGAGTTAGGGTGATGAGAAACTTCACCAAAACCACATTGCCAAGCTCCAACCAAGCAGGATATGACCTTGTAAGCAGGTCTTTGTGAAAGTGGCCATCTTGGGAGTGTCAGGTTAACTTTCCTGCATGCCATCCCATTGAGTGGCTGCTGGGTGAATTAAATGAGAAAATCCATGCAAAGTGCTTGGCACCGTGCCTAGGATGGCAGGGACTTACTAACTGCCAATTGCAATTGCTTTGACATCTAGGGAATGCATTTTGACTGGCTTTTCTGTGCTAAAGGAGCAAGCTCTGTACCCACCATCCACCTGCTCACCCATTCACTTAGCCATTCTTTCATTTAACACATTTTAGGCACCTGCTGCAGTATTCAGCCTATGTCTAGCCCCCTTGAGGACTTCGTATGTGTGGGAAGGTGCATGTATACATGTGGGTACAGGTCATGTATGCCCAGGCATGTGGAGGGCAAAGGTCAACCTCAGCTGTCTTCAGGACTCTCTGCCTTGTTTTTTCATGACAAGGTCTCTCACTGGGGTCTGGGGCTCAGCAATGAGGGTGGGCTGACTGGCCCAAGAACCCCAGCCTTCCACCCATCTCTTCCTCCTCAGAGCTGGGGTTTGTAAGGGCATGCCACTGTACTCAGCTTTTTTACTGGGTTCCTAGGATCGAACTCTGTCTTCATGTTTGCATAGCAGGCATTTTGCTGACTGAACTATCTTCCCCCGCCTCTTTGAGGGTTTTGTAAGTCACACGATTGGCTACTCCCTTTCTAGAAAATGCTGTATGTGGGTATCCATGCTGACTGGGCATTTAAGGTAGGTGGTGCTGGCATGAATCCTTCAAGACCTTCATGCTAAACCTTAAAGGACTTATTCACAAATTCAGAACAAGCATGATAAGGAGGCCATGACCAGAGAACTTCATCTCCTGATATTCCTCTATGTGTCTTCTCCTCCCACAGCCAAAGCTAAATCGAAATGTGGCCCGACATTCTTCCCCTGTGCCAGCGGCATCCACTGCATCATCGGCCGCTTTCGCTGCAATGGGTTTGAGGACTGTCCTGATGGCAGCGACGAAGAGAACTGCAGTAAGTGCAGGGGACTCGGGCACTGTGATCCCTATTCTTTCCTATCAGCCTGACTTGTCCTGACTGGCTACTCTCCTGTCTCTATTTTTCACAGAAAATGCTTGGGCATCCTCTGCTGTCACTCACATCCTCTTCTTTACTGCCTCCCTGTGATGGGACATAATTCTCAGCTACCGTTTAAGTGCACTGGGTCTGATCAGTTCTAACAGTCCCTCTGCAGATGCAGTTGCATTGTCTCTGATGAACAAATGAGGAGCTAGAGAGATTAAATTAGCTCCTCCAAGACCATCGAGCTCAGTCACACTTCATCTGCATGACTGTCTCAACACCTATATTTTTGTGCTTGTTTTCCTTCTCAATTTGAATCCTTTAAAACATGCTCTTCTATTAATTATATACATGCTGTAGGAATATGTTCTTGAAAACCATTCCAGATAGTGCAAAGTTTATCTTAGCCTTGACTATAGCAACTTGTTTTTTAACCAAATATAATATTCTATATCTGTATACAAGCATACAGTCCAATACATATACATCTGCAAGCACACTTATTAACTCCAGCTTGCCCTGTCTCTTGGCAGTCTTGCTGTTGGGCTTAACCCCTCCTTGGCTTGAATACATGCAGTCCTTCCTTTCCAGTTCCTGAGACCTCAATGACTTTGCACACTACAGCCTCAGAGAACTTCAAGTCTCTTCCTTACTTTTGATACTATTCCAACTTTCCCAGCAATTTGCTTCCCACGTGTTCCTGTGACTCACTCTGGTCCCTGTTTCTTCTTTCCTTCTGATTTTATAACTACTGTTGACTCAGAGTAAATTTATCCTTTCCTTGTTTTTGAGACAAGGTCTTGCTATGTAGCCTAGACTGGGCTTGAACTTGCAGTCCTCCTGCATCTGCCTCCCAAATGCTGGGATTACAGACATGCACAACCATGTTTTATTTTTTTAAAGACTTAAAAAGCAATTTTAAATTCATAACAAAATTAGGAGGACAACATGAAGATTTCCCATGTGCCCCCCGACCCCACTGTCAACATCCCATGCCGGCACAGAGTACGGTTTGCCACAAATGATAGATTTTCACCAATACACCATCATCCCCAGAGTCTGCAGTGATGTCAGGGTTCACACTTGGTGTTGTGTCTTACCTGTGTTTGGTCAGACTTACAGACATATCTCCACCACTGTGGTTTCGTGTAGAATCCCTTCACTGCCCTAGAAACCCTGTCCTCAGCTCATTCTTCTCTACCCACCCTCCCCATTTATGTACTTTCATACCATTTTCTCCTGTTTATTGTAAAGAACTAACAAAATACAAAAAAGAATAAAGAAGGAAATAAAACATCCTATAATCCCTTCAATTGGAATGAAATAGTATTGATACTTAGGGCATCTCTATAGACACAGGGTTTTTACTGTCTTTAACTGTGATGTTCCCTTTATTGTGGCCATTTTTCCATTTTGGTTTTTAACTTTTTTTTCCAAACTATAAGTTTCAGTGGCTTCACTGATTATTTAGCTAGCCTGACACCCCATCCCCCCAATTCCTGGTTTACTTTAAGCCCCTGATCAGAAGAGCAGCTTTTCCTCTCAAGTCAATTGGAAGTTCCAGGGCACAGTTTCTGTTGCAGCTTCCCAGTGGGAACATGAGCTGTCTGTGACTTTCCCTTGTGCCTTTTCCTGTTGCCTCTTGCCATCTTCTGGGTCTCACATGGTAGGAATCTGACCCAGCTGCTAAACTGTGGTACAATTGGTAGAGAGACTGAAGCCCACTGTAGCAGGGAAGGTACAGGTCACCAGCAGGAATAGGAGCCTGACTGAAGCCAGTGATTCCAAAACCAGGATCTGGGTTTTGGTTGGTGTATTCTCTCCAGGGAAGCCTGTGCCTGCCATACCAATTCCCCTGTTGATGGTGCGTTCCTGGTCCCTAAACCTGTTTGCAGACATCCTCTTCCAGGCTTATGATAATCAGATGAACTGATACCTGAAAAGTACTTAGTTTCAGGGCCAGCCCAGAGTAATTGACATTTTTATAACATGTTGCTTTAGAACAAAAGTGTGAGCCATTAAAGGAAAGACCATATATTTTTAAGTTTCTAATTGCATTTATTTATTTAGTGTGTGTATGCAGAGGTCAGAGGACAACTTGTGGAAGTTCGTTTTCTCCTTCCACTATGTGGGACCTGGGGATCAAACTCGGGTTGTCAGGCTTAGTGGCAAGTGCCTGTATCCATTGAGCCATCTCACCAGCTAGGGAAGACTACATTTACTAGGATTTTGCTTTTAGCTTGGGCTCTCCAAGGATATACTTCTTTTATATTTTATTTAATCCTTTAGTAAGTATGTTCCAGCTTGGTCTCAGCTTCCTAGTGTCATGAGATCTTGTGGCCTAAGGGTGTGTGTATGTGTATGTGTATGTGTGTGTGTGTGTGTGTGTGTGTACATGCATACATATGATTAATCCAATGGAAATAAAAAGCATATGTGATGCATTCTGGGCTGTATATTCAACATGACTGGGTCATCCTTGCACTATTTGTCATGATTAAAGGCCCTGTAAGTGTTACTTCTATGGATATCGGCCTTTAATGGTCTAAGAGAGTAAATGGTGAATATTCTAGATTGTATCAGTAGGGATTAGGCAGCATTTTCCTCTCACACCTACCATTTTAAAATCGTGATTTCAGTGCTACATAGCAGATGGGTCAATAAAGAATCAAGCATCTTCAACTTCTTCTGTGCATTGTACTTTAGAGTCATCACATAGCTGACTTACAAAAGTTCTTTTTATCAAAGAATACCACTTACAGAAGAATACTAGAATTAGAGTACACATCTCTATCTTATAACTCTTTTGTCAACTTGATCTAGGTAGTGATGACCATGGCTGTGAAAACCCTGGGCTAAGAATATGATGCAAAGCTTTCCAGTGATGAGCCAAGCTGAAAGACTCCTGCAGCTAGTGTGTCTTTCTGGACCTGAGTTGGGGTTACACCACTCCCAGTGGAGGGCAGCAACCTAACTCTGTAGGTCTCTTTACGTTATAGATGATTATCAACCTTCATTCATTAAAAATCTCAGAAGACAGTGTTTAAATTGTTGCTTTAATTTCTCATCTCTTCATTCAAGGGTCCAGTGAAGAATATGCTGTGCTTACTCACATAGGTGCCATTTTGGCCACTCCTCTGTCATTCTGCACCTTCCGGTATTTCCCTTCTGCACCATGTGTGTGCCTGGTACCCACAGAGGCCAGAAAAGTGCACTGGAGCCCCTGGAACTAGAGTTATAGACTGCTGTTAGCTACCATGTGTGTGCTGGAAACCAAACCCTAGTCCTCTGCAAGAACAGCAAGTGCTCTTAATTTAATTTTAATTTTTTAGTTTAATTTAAAAATTGTTTTTTGAGACAGGGTCTCATTTTGTAGCCCCAGCTGGACTGGAACTCACTATATAGACCACCCCAGGCTAGCCTTGATGTAACAGTAATCTGCCTGCCTCTGCCTCCCAAGTGCTGAGATTAAAGGCCTATGCCACCATGCCCAGCTATTTTTAAGTGTGTATGTGTTTCTATGCATGTGTGAAGGCACTCATGGAGGCCAGAAGAGGGTGTCAGATCCCTTGGAGCTGGAGTTATTATAGGCAGCTGTGAACTGCCTAGTATAGGTACCAGGAACCAAACCCAGGTTCTCTGCAAGAGCAGCACAGGTTTTTAACCACTGATCCATCTTTCCAGTCCCTCAGCAATGCTTTTGAAAGCAGAGTTATAGGCAACACATTCTCTCAGTTTTCACTCCTCTGAGAATGTCTTTATTTCACCTTCATTCCTAAAGATGTTTTGATGGTGTGGTGTTCTGGCTGACAATCCTTTTCTCTGAGCACTTTAGTAAGTGTGCACTTCCTTCAGGCTTCTCTGGTTTCCACAGAGAAATTTATGGTCATTAGATTCGTTCCCCTGTAGATTCTGCATCTTTTTTGTCTAGTTGCTTTGAAGAGCGTTTTGTCTTTAGTTCTCAGCATTTAGATCTTTGTTTTGTGTGTCACCGGGTGGAGTTCTTTGAGTTTATCCTGTTTGGGGGTTTTTGAGCTATTTGAGTCTGTAGATTCTGATTTTTTGCCACGTTGAGTACATTCTCAGCTAGCATTTCTTCAAATGGTTTTCAGCACAGCCTCCTTCTTTCCTCATGAGACTCAAATGACAAGAACTTCAGATTTTCTGTTTTTATCTCGTGAGTCCCTGAAGCTCTGTTCACTTTTTATCAGTCATTTTGCTTTTGATTGTTCAGACTGGATGCTTCTATTAATCTGTCACCAAATCCTCTAATTTTTGTCTTTGCCATCTCGAATCTGCTTTCCTGCTTACCAACTGTTGGTTTTGTGATTCAGTTACTGTGTTTTTTCATTTATGAATTTCCTTTTGGTTCTTTTCTGTGTTTCCTATTTCTTTGCTGAGACTTTTTTCCATTTGTTTCAGTTGTGTTTGTGGAGTTGCTTGTTAGAGTGTGTGTGTAACAGCTGTTTTAGCATTTTCATCACATGATTCCAACATCTGCACATCTTGGTGTCAGAACTATATGCTATCATTTCCTGATTCTCTATATGCCAGGTAATGGTGGATTACATTCTGGACATTTTATTTGTTATGCCTAATGCTCATATCTTAATTAAATTCTGTGGAAAGCACTTATATTTTTGCTTTAGTAGCAAAAGACCTAGTTGGGTCAGACAACATCATCCCATCACCTGGTAATGGGCCATGCTAGCAGAAGTTGGGGACCAAGTGGTCTGAGTTCATTCTCTTTGGTGTACCTGTTAAAGACGTGCAGTGTGGGGATTTTTTTCTTTCTTCACCATCTGGAGGGTTCTTTCCAGTTTCTAGGACTCCGAGAGAGCAATAAAAACAATGTAAATTCACCCGTGTTTCAAGACTGAAAGTGGCTGCTGACTGCATCCCAGCCACAGTTCTAAAGTTGCACTCAATGGCAGAGCCAGCAGGCAGAATGG